CTCACTTTATGCGGGTTCTGTATATATGAATTTGCTCTTATGCGATTACCTTTTCTATACCAAAAATTTGTTATATGCGAGGTAAATTCACTCTTATACGACTGGTGTGGTGGAAGCCTGAAGGCAGCTGCTTTGTGCAGTGCATTGTGGGAGTGACGCACACCAAAATATAGTCTCCTGTGTGGATCCGTGCTCCTCACTCGTTGCCTGTGACACGGGTTTCCGTAGTTATGATAATACCCTGTGCTTGTGTGTACTGTCTGCTGTTGGTGAGTACCAAAACTGTCTGGGAAAAGTGGTTGAAATGGGTCTGGGGGTCAGTACAATCGAGGTCTTGGAATGTATCCCTATTTGTTACATTGTAAAGTTGGTTCCCTTTATGCTAATTTGAGTTATGCGCTGATTTCCAGGAACGCATGTACAGCATAAAGCAAGCAAAACCTGTGTTCCACACCAAAATGCACTGTTATAAGTGAAACTAGCAAAAGTGAAACTAGCTTCACTGCAAAAGTAAAACTAGCTTTTCTCCCTGGTATGATATCACAGTATTAATAGAGCATATCTACACCTTGCAATGATACAGTTTAAGGATGGCAGTACAATTGGCTGTCTTCAATTTTGTAAGCTGTAGGCCAGTGGTGCTTAACCTTTTGGCCCCATAGGCCAGATGAATGACAGGGAACTCACCTGTGAGCCAGGCCAGCCCCCCAGCCTTGCATGCTGGGATTGAGTCCTAGGGACCTGGCACCATCCCCTCCTGTCCCCTAGGTGCCAGGATTGGGTCCTGGGGGCCCAGCCCTACCCCCTCCTGCTCACTATGCACTGCAATTGGGCCTCATAATCCTGGCATTACCCCTGCCCAGCCTGGCATGTTGGGATTAAATGCCAGACCCAGTTGTCAGGACCCCCTATTGTAGGCTTTCATGATGCACTTGGTGTTTAATGTCAAGGGTGTGGCATGGATAATGTATTTTGTCTCTCTCTCTTTACCAGAAAGGAAGTTAATCAGAACTTCTCTGACCCCAAAATGTTGTTTCTTACTGCATGCACCTTATGCTGATTTTTCTCTCCTAAATTTAAATACATTTACCTCAGTTTGGGCATTTAAAATACATAGGTGGAAACAATAAAGTTACATATTTGTCTTATCTACAATATTTTGGATTGATCCTTTTTAAAATTATGCTGAATTATACCTATAGAGATAGAAGGGCTAATTTTATTAATGAAATTAGGTAACATGCTTAAAAACAAATCTCTGATTGATTTTGCTAACTCAGAAGTAGACATTTGCACTGTTATGTACAAGTTAATGATATTTCTAAAAACTTAGTTAAAATAGTCAAATCACCATACAGTGTTAACTTTTTATCAATGCCAGTAAGTAACACTGAAAGGTTTTTGCCTCCCTTTTCCTGGGTGTTAAATTAATTTTTGAGTGGGTTTTTTTGGTAAACCATACCAAACAACAGCTGAAATAAACTTAAATAAACTGCCAAAATACTACTAAATACAAAAAATAATTAGCGTTCTGGTATTTTAGATTTTTATTCAAGATGACTGAAAACTTGCCTTTGTGGCATGACTAGCAAAAAAGAAGTCTCACCCCAGTTTCAGAAGTAAATACTCTGGTGCACATTTAAGTTATTTATAAAAATTTCCAACATTTTTGTAAAACTCATGTCTGGGTAAAGGAACCAAAGTCATCATTAAAGGAGCTCTTAGAGCACCTCAAGCACCACAGAAGGTCTATCAGGAATTGCTGTTCAAAGAGGAGGGGAGGCAGGGCGCAAGGAGTATCCCAGAAGTGAAATCCCTCACCTCCACCCTCTGCAGGACCTGGTCCTATGTTAAGGACTTCTGTTCCACACCTATGTGAGTAGCACCTATACTGAGAAGATGTATTAGGTAAATGGTAGTTACATTTTCTGCTGTTTTTTGAATGCAGCTTAGTAGCTGAAAATAAGCAGACACAACCCACACATCTCTCAGCAGAACCCCACTAAGTGGTCCACAAAGAACAGACTTGGAACTTCTGAATTACAAATCTGTAGATTTTTAAAATCCAGTTTTTGATGCTACAACTTTGAAATACGCAACTATCTGGCTCTTGGGGATCTGAATAGTAAATGACTCTAAATTGGAAGACACACATCAATTAGCAGTACATGTACAACCTAAGCAGTAACCTAGTTGTACATGTAAGCAGTACAACCTTAAGAGTATGTAAACTTGCACTTTCTGTATCCACGAGATTTTTAGGGACATATTAACAGACCAGTACTTTTGTTTCAGTGGTAAAATACTATAAAAATTGAGGCCAAGTGATTTGGCAGCTGGGTCTCAAAGTGAATGCCAGTTCATGTGGTAATAGATCTGGAGCTGAAAAGCAAGCCAAAATGAGTTTAAGTGAAGAGCTAATGCGATGATAATAATGCTTGGTACATGCTACAATTTAAATCGTCCATGTACTTTCCCAAACATTAGTAAAGTAACTCCCTCATCACTGATTTTATCACTCGGGATAGAGCGTACCCTTTCATGGAGAAATCTGTAGAAGAGAATTGGGGAAAAGAAACCCACTTAACTTCCTCTCACCAAAATTTCTCCATGTTGTTCCTTCAGGGGAGAATAGGAGTTGATCCCCACTCACAACTCCCAGAACTTGAGCTGTCTGCATGGATGTCCTCAGCTTCTGCAGCAGCCCTGGTCCTTAGTCAACCCAGCTCTTTTGGAACCAAGTGGCCAGAGCTTTGTGTTACTGCCTGCTGCTCAGAACTACATCCAAAGCGGTGCCCATGTGTTTATGTGGGAGCTACAGAAAAGTATATGCGAGAGTATGTGTGTATGCATATATTTGCGTTTTTTAAGTCCCTAATTGGTGTTCAGCAGTAGAGATGCCAAAATGGGGAAAGGCACATGGTTCAGATACTGCAGTAATGGTTAAAATCCTCTTTCTTCACAGAAATGAGGGTAAAAATATGCAGGAAGATCTAGGGGCAATGATTTTACAGACGCAGGACAAAAATGATTGATATGATTAGATTTTACTATGTTAACACATGATCCTCCACTTTCCCCTGCCCCACCACCACAGGGAATATGCAGTGTAGATATATGCTGCTGGTGACCTCCCCGAGTCCAAAGAGTGAGGCAGTATTCAAGCCAGGACAAGAAATCTGTCTTCTAATCCAACACCCTAGTCTACTTCTCAAGCAACTGCTGATTTTGTAGACTGCTGGACTCTTTTCCAACTACTGTATGCATCTAAATTAAAGATGCACCAACTGGCAATAATAGCTGAAGAAAAGCAGAAGAAACGATAAAGCAATTACCAAAAGCTAAAAGCGAACAAGCAGGTATTGCACTGTGGGCAAACCCTGTGGGAGAGTGGTGGGGAAGAGGGAGTTTCCAAGAGCTAGGGGACAGAGCGTGTGGGTACAGGAGTCTTACCCATGCTGTGAACTCCAAAATGGTTCTCAGCTGCCACCATCAAGTGCTCTGCTAGCCCTTGCTCTTGCAGCAGCAACAGCACAGTGTCCTTGCACTGGTTGCTGTTATAAGAGCAACCCTGTGGAGATGCTCTTGCTGCCGGGCCACAGACTCTGTAGGGGCGGGAAGGTAGTTCTGGCACCTGGGACTAGTGCCCCTCTCGCCTACCCCTAGTTACGTCACTGCCTAAAACCCCTAGCATTTTAAAGGAATGACTGATATTAAGCAATAATAATGCACAAATATGAAACTTCAGTGTCTGACCAGTTCAGATTACTACTAAAGAACGTTACCTCACAGAGATACATGTACATTGTTAAAAAATTAGGAAATTACAAATGGCAGAGGAAAAACAGGAGTTAGAGCAAATTCCAGAAAGAATGAGACAAATAAAACAGGTTAAGCACCCATGGCAATGGGTATTAAAAATTAAAGACAGTTTTTATATATGGTGTCTAAATCCTTAATACAGACAGGGCCAACCCTGACACTTTGTACATCACTGTGCAAAGCACGGTGGACAGCAGTCCAAAATGGGTTCTGTAACTTTTGCTGGTAGCATTTTTAGTTGAAGAAAAGATGGTAGGATAAGGTTAATATGATGCTTTGGAGGGGGAAGTAGTAACAATTTTTCTAGCAGGAAGTGAAAATGATGCAACTATCATTTTGAAATTGGTGAGAATTTTGGCAGCTGAAACGCAAGTAAGTTTCGACAAGTTTGTTGCTGGAAGGCAATGGAAACTTGGGGTTCTAAACCTGATCATTTAAGATGGAAAGGGATTCATAACAGCTTTGTTGGGAGTTTCATAAATGCATGCTAGGATTGTCAACAACTCACACAGCAGGACTTACAAAGATATGTAGGCCTTGCGTAGCCACACATTTAGTATGTGTCTGTAAGGCTACTTCTTGTTCTGGGAAAGAATTAATGGAAAGCAAGCCAAGGCACCAAAAGACTGAAAGAGTGAATCCTAAAAGTGAGACATAAGAATTACTATTTCATAATGTAAAAGATGTATAGGCATAGTTAGCAAGATTTTGAGTGTATGTATATTTGTCAGCCTGATTTTCATTTAGAAACAGTTTCAAAATGTGGTACAGATGAGACAGAGATGATGGATGAATTAAATGACTGCTTCTTGAAACTTGTCAGGGACCCACCTGTCCAGATCAGATTCCAACTACTGAACAGAGAAGAATAAATAAATTAGAAACAGGACAACAGAATCAAGTGGCCACAATATGATTAAATATGATGTGAAAATTAAATTTATTACTATTATGGGAAAGCTGCAGAATTTTAAATAATGGTGCATGTGAAAGGATATTACACAAAATGTTTTTAGACAAATATCAGGTACCCCTGGTAGGGGGATGAAAAAGCCAGACTAAATTTAGATGATAATTAAAATAGTTTCTTCAGAAGTGAGATGTAGCTTCAATAAATTCCACATTCTTAAACAGGACAATAAGGAACTGAGGGGAAAAATAGAATATGCTATACTTACAAGAAAATAGGAAGTAAAGAACACTGGGAAGAATACAGGGAGATGCTAAAACAGATAAAGAAGGGTATTAGAAATGCAAAGTAAAACTTTGAAATTTACATAGTAACAGATGCTAAACACAAATTATTTTTCTAAGTGATACAAAATAGGAGATAAATGTAGGAAGATTAAGACTGACAACAGGAGAATGAAATGGAATACAAAGTTACATATGCAAATAAAACAATGGACTGGTAAAAAAACCAAACCAACCCTGACATGCCGTAAGAAACTAAATATAATATACTGTGGACAATTTATGAAGACAACAAATGGCAAGCTAAAAAGGCAAAATTTCTGATGTATAGCATGACTAGAAGCATACAAACATGTCATCCTGAATGGAAAAACTGGCAATCGCTGGTATATATAAAGTAATTGAGATTCTCTCCACAAGCAAGCTTACAGAGTGTTTTGAATAATGAAATTCTGATTATAATAATTTCAGCAAGAGTGGAAAAAGTGCCCTAAAAACTGCAGTTTATTTCTGGTTTCAGGACTGCTTTCACAGAATTATAGTTAAAAAGAAGTTCTGCTAAGATTAAAACCTACTGGATCCAAAAAAAGCCATCAAGAACAACACCCAAGAGACCCATCTTGGATTCAGTAGAGGATTTTCATCCTTTCCACCAATTCATTCACTATTTGTCATATGCTTTACCAATATTTTTGTACATTTACACCATTATATGCATTACATCAGTTTTCTCTACTATATCTTCAACCTTAAATGCATGCTCCAATTTTTGTTTTTAAATACTTTTTAGAAAGCTTCTCCTATTTTGGTCTGTACAGAAATCTGAAGTCCTATGGTTAGAAACCTTTCTCTGTTTCAGTGAAAATGTTTCCATAATTTAACACACATTCTTGAGTTTAGCATTGATGTTCATAATCTTGCTGACAAGTGGCAGATAACTAAGGAACAAAATTTGGCCAACATGTGACGAGGTGTTAGAACAGGTCTGACTTCAGTAGGCAGTACCCAGTGATCCACATTTAGACTGAGGATGGTATATACAACATAACTAGATTTTGCAGGAATCTATGCAAAGTAAAATCTGTATCTGCTCCGTTTTTCCAGTGAACTGCTTCCTTGCCCTTATCCATAGCATTTGGTAGATTTTCCCTTGTAAGCAATGGCAGTGAAATGGTAGCATAACAAGTGGGACTATTCAACAAAGAACAGGTCTATTACTTTGGTTTGTTAGCTTCCCAACATTTTGTTTCAGTAGTTTTGCTCCCAATCCTAGCACGTTTTAAGCAAATATTGCCTTAGTGTACATACCAGCCTGTACATAAAAGAAGCACTTGGAAAGCAAGACTGAATTGTCATGGTGGTGTTCTGGGTCTCAGGAAGAATCAAAGGAACATGCAACAGACTTGAAGGCTCTTCCGCATATGAGGTCTTCAAAACCCTGGGTTTAGTCTTGTAGTTCTACAGTATACTTGACCTAAAATAGCCCACAATTGAAAGTCTGGGGGAGAAAAGGGTTTAACTGCTACTAAAATAACTATTTAAATCTTTACTCTCATTTTCTTTACTTTGATGGCTTTTAATAACTTTGAGAAACTTAAGGAACTGAATGAATGCAATGTCTACAAAGATGTTTTTATTTAGTTACGTAAAATTATCAAGGGATTAAATAGTTTTTACTTCTGCACAAATGAAAATTAAACTACATACAACTCCAATTGAGAAAGATAAAGGTAATGAGGAAAGACAAGTCCTACAATACAGATTATAAAATACATAAAATAAAGGACTTTACTCAAGTATTTAAAACCCCTCATCATGAACAACTCCAATTCAATTTATTATCTTTAACCCAGTACTGATGATGGAATAAGATGAATTCAAGTGGTTATCAAACAGTAAATTTGAATCACTGATGTTCAAAAAATGCTCATTGTTCAAGGCTGCAAAGGTAAACACAAAGCCCTTATTGAAAACAAAACAATAATCTGAAAGCAATAAACTGCTAGGGGAGAGAAGACTGTAAAATTAAACAGTAGGTGAGGAGGAAGAAGATGGATGAAATAGCAATATTATCCTAATTATATGTTCTAAAAAATGGGAAAAATAAGTTTTGTAAATGAGCACAAAACACCTAGTCATCAGAGATAAAATAATGCTACACAGTACCATAATCTGTCACAGAATTTATGAAGTGATGCATGACAATTATAAATTTGGTAATCTCTTTTATTTGGCAACTGGAGCCCCAGCAAACTCTACATCAGAACTCTGCATTCAAGGAAGTGGTGCCATACCACTCCAAAACTACCAAACAATCCTGCAGCAAACATTTTGCTTACTTTTTTTGGCAACAGCAAAGAGAATTTCATTTCAGTAAAAGCAGTTTCTGCATTTCATTTTGTACAAGTTTGGACAATTTCTGTTCCAAAATATGTTTTTTGCTCAGTGGCACAAAGGACAAATTCAAATAAAGTGCAAAAAACACTGTATTATCAAATTTAATTTTCCACTGCTCAGATAAATACTATTGAAATTTGAGATCCCTATGTTCACTTGTATCAACAAAACAGAGGAAACAGAAATTAGGTTATACACTGTATTTTCTGTTATATAAGACACATTGTGTATAAGATGCATTTTCTCCCTCAAAAAGGATAATATTATGGAAAAAAGTTTAACATAAATATGACTGAATTTTAGTCAACTCATTACAAAGATTTCAATTACTTTTTATCACGTAGCTTTGGTATGTAAGATGCATCTTAAATTTAGATCTCTTTTTTTAGGGAAAAAAAAAAGGTTGCATCTTTTCACCAAAAAGTAGGCATCAATGACATGTCTGCCTTTTTTTTACAAGAAGGACTTGTCATAAAACAATACTGTCAAGGAAGAAAGGAAGGAAGGAAATCATGTGACTTTTTTATTTTTCAGTATGCAAAATTTTTCCTAGTTAAACGAGATGACACATGGCTTTGTCATGGGGCCAAAACAAACAGCAGCAAGCTAATGTATAGATAAGGAATTACAATCTCAACCTGCTTTCCAAATTCACCTTTGTGGTACGGGGGCAGGGTCCTGTGGCAGGGAGAGAGCTGGAAAAGTTGCTGGAATACAGTTGCTGAAAAGTTCCTTGAACTGTGCTAGAACACAGTTGCTTGGTTATCAGACTGCCTTACAAAGAAGTAATCTCAAGATATAGGGAAAATACATGAGAAATATTTCGGTCCTAATGAAGATTCCAGCAGATGAGGACAACGTTCATGGGCTGAAAGGCTAGATCTTCAGATCAGCTTGAACAGCATTTAGTAGAGTGGGGATCAGAGGTACAGGAGCTTTATGCTACCTCTCCTATACTGATCTGAGCAGCTATAAGGTTGCTCTATGTCAGGGGTGCGCAATTATTTCAGCTGGAGGGCCGCTTAATGAGCTTTGTTGAGCTGTCAAGGGACGCAACAGGAGCCCTGCCCCTTGACAGGTGCCCCATTGCCTGGTCACCATCTTGGGTCCAGAAGTCCCCTAACCCTGACCACTAACCATTGGAAGTCCCTCCCTTTACCCCCAGAAAGTACTCCTTTTGGGGGGAGAGGTGGCCATCTTAGAACCCCAAAACCCCCCAAATCATATACTAGAAATCAAACATCTACTATAATGTATTTTAACTTTATTTCAAAAAATATTTTTGTCCTGATTTATGTGCATTTGCATAGTGTATATAGAAGTGATTGCATTATAGCTCAAAATAAAGCCTTACTCCTGTATATTGTGTGTTGGGGGACTGTGTGAGGTGTGGTTGGTGGGGGGGTGACT